ACAAGTACTTCTAAACAGATATCAAACATGGTTGAAAACAAGTACTTCTAAACAGATATGAAACATGACAGAATACAAGTACTTCTAAACAGATATCAAACATGACAGAATACATACCTCTAAAGGGATTATTAACTTAACAAAAGACTGTTTGTACTTAGTTAGTATATAAACGTTTCAGCACTGGTACAATTGTGCATCTCCATTCAACAAGACCTCTATACCCCACAAACTGAATAACCAACCTCACAGGAAACTTACAGCACCTGAGAGCACAAGCAAACATTTGGACAAGAAGTGAAATACTACAATTACTACTAAAATGAGCCTGAGCTATGCTACCCAACATTACTTTATGGAACAATAATACACTGAAATAGTTGTATGACGATATCTACGCCCAGAACTAGTGATTAACTCAGTGGTTGTTTTCAAGCTGTGCTGGGCATCACAGCTATTATAACATTATTATATTAATATAACATGATACTCCCTGTTTACTATAATATATCACAAAGCTTTGTACAAATGTGCTGGCATGGTACTATATCAGTAAATGTCATCCCCCTACTGTCAACTATTATTTGACTTTTATATATGACAAGACCCTGTACTATTGTGTCAGTATGGTACTATATCAGTAAAGGAGTCATCCCCTATTGTCTACTATAATATGACTTGTATATGACAAGACCCTGTACTATTGTGTCAGAGTTGGTACTAAATCAGTAAAAGTCATCCCCTATTGTCTACTATAATATGACTTGTATATCACAAGACCCTGTACTATTGTGTCAGAGTGGTACTATATCAGTAAAAGTCATCCCTAACTGTCTACTATAATATGACTTGTATATCACAAGACCCTGTACTAGTGTGTCAGTATGGTACTACATCAGTAAAAAAGTCATCCCCTATTGTCTACTATAATATTACTTGTATATGACAAGACTCTGTACTAGTATGTCAGTATGGTACTATATCAGTAAAAGAGTCATCCCCTACTGTCTACTATAATATGACTTGTATATCACAAGACCCTGTACTAGTGTGTCAGTATGGTACTACATCAGTAAAAGAGTCATCCCCTACTGTCTACTATAATATGACTTGTATATCACAAGACCCTGTACTAGTGTGTCAGTATGGTACTACATCAGTAAAAGAGTCATCCCCTATTGTCTACTATAACAAGATCTTGTAAAACTGTGTTGACATGGTATTATACTATTAAACCATAATCATCACTCAATGTATACTACTATACTTATATACATACAGGCTTGTTGATGTCTGTCTCTAGATCTACTGCTGCTGGTCTGTATGTTTGGTTCGTCCGCAGTGTCATAGGCCACGGCCTTATCATATTGATGGGATAATTCTGGAAAATAAGATTTTCATACATATCTTTAACAAACATTCATCTTTGTATAAAAACTAGAAACTGTAAATAACTAAACATTCATCTTTGTAAAAGCAAGCTTACCATCTGTTCAGAACTAGAAATTGTCAGCAACTAAACATTAATCTTTGTAAAAGAAGCTTACCATCTGTATTAAACTAGAAATTGTCAGTAACTAAACATTCATCTTTGTAAAAGCAAGCTTACCATCTGTTTAAAACTATAAATTGTCAGTAACTAAGCATTCATCTTTGTAAAAGAAGCTTACCATCTGTATTAAACGAGAAATTGTCAGTAACTAAACATTCATCTTTGTAAAAGCAAGCTTACCATTTGTTCAGATAGAGTTTCCATTAAACCTTTTAACGTAGCTACTTTCTTCACTTTGAAAGTCCTGCAGAAAGAAATAATAAGTTATAAAATACAATAATCAATATAAATTAAGTACTTTGATACATACACATATAAATAAATAAATGTTCTTCACCTATAGCTTGTTCTTTCCGAGTCAAACAGATCATTTCCTTGATGACCATTAAAGCTATCTTCAGTAAGAACCTGGACATTCATGTACAGATGAGCTTCATTTCTTTCCTTTCTCCTCTGTGCTTCTTGTCTCCTGAAATTCAGTGACATATTACCATCTTGTTTCAGACTGTGAACAAACAGTCAAACCAATTTCAATTTTAGTGACTCGCAACAGCTTAACAGTAGTAAAAACTGTATGTATGAAGAAGTCACACTGAATTTTGATTCAACTTATTGAGCTGTGTTTTGGTGACAAAGTACACCTTATGAGAATTAAAAGAAGTCAACTTTTATTGTGTACAAAGAGCCAGTACCACATTTAGGTAGAACACAACAAGTACTTTATTTTTTATCACCTCCATCAACATTAGTCCTACCAACAATATGTGATGTGTACCTCTCCTTCCTCACTGCTCAAATCATGTCCAATAATAAGATTCAGACTCTTGAAACATTACAGAATTAAAAGATAAAGAATTAACATTTTATACCATAACAGTGCCAAGAGCAGAGGACATGTACTACTTATACACACATTTGTGGAGCATTTTTGTTTTTATGTTATTCTGTATGGTATATATATATATTTCACAGAAAAAAATCTGTGAGACATTCAGCTACATTATGACAATTTTCTGGGATTAAACAACTTTGTAAAAGTTGATAAATTCAAATTACATTTTTAACTAAAGCACTAAAGTCCATTTTAATCTATAGTGGTGAAACACTTCCATGGCAACAGGTCTAATGGCTTTCTAGGAATTTGTGATTTCAAAAATAATATAAAATGCTAATATTACTATCCTTGAAACTAGAACATTACAACTGAAACGCAACTATCTCCAACACAACAAATGAAACTGACCTATGATTATTTCATCAATGTAGACTTTTAATAAACAAAGTAGCTCAATATGATACAAATCTATTTTGTTTCACAAATTTCTGTTTTAACTAAGAAAACACTCGTGCTACCTATATATTTCAGTATACTATTAGTGATAGAATGATATCTAGAAATCTATTAGTGATAGAATGATATCTAGAAATCTATTAGTGATAGAACGATATCTAGAAATCTATTAGTGATAGAACGATATCTAGAAATCTATTAGTGATAGAATGAT